GCGTGCGTAAGACTCAAGCATCCCCGATACTGAGGCCTTCTCCCACACGGTGGCACTGCTGGGAGCGTTGCCACTGGCTCCTCGGTGCCAGGGATTATTATCGGCCGAGAGAACGATTTTCCTTTTAAAGGTTATACACTCTCAGCGAGAAACAAGAGTGCCCAAAGAGACACATGATCTTATAGATCCACAAGTGCTCTAGAATCTGGAAGCTGCATGAAACTTGCATCCCGAGCGCGTCGTGTCGTGTGACCCGATGAGAAGGCTGCACGACCATCCCTCTGATGCTTGGCTGCGACGACCCCGAGTGTTCCCCCACTACTGCCTTTCCCAGGACCCCCGCGAGCGCATTCCTGTGAGTCCCTCCCGGCATGGCCCGCCCCGCAAGTCCTTGTCGCTCCGCCGTCGTGAGATCCTTCCAAGAGTTCTCTTCGCCGCGTGATCCTCGAACGGAAGGAAGAGTCTAGCAAGGACATCCTCCTTACTCAAGAAAAATCCTACCCTTTCTCCTTCAGCAATACGTATAGTCTGCCAGACGAAAGGCTCTTAAAAGAGTTTTGGCGTCACAAGGGAGTCCTGCAGGACCTCGTCGTTCTGTGCTCCCCTCCCCCGTACCGCGTCCGTCAAGATTTGTATACTGAATGAAGTCCCACCGCACGACAATGTGACATAAGGCCTACCGCGTGTTGTGGGCGTCGAGGCGCGCTCAGGCCTCCTCCAACACCCCAACCATCACCACCACCACCATCACCGCCACGCCCCCAGCCACAGCCTCCGTCGAAGAAGACAACGCAGACCCCAAGAGACGCGAGAGCAAGGGCGCCAGCGAGAGCTGCATCAGCCCCGCCGCGGCCGCCGCGAGCAGCCCCGGTTCGAACACGAGCCCCACGAGCACCACCACCGCCACAATCTCTCACACGGTGAAAATGCTAAGTCCCAAAATGCAGCGCACGATCAGGATTAACGAGAACCAGGTGCTCATGCTGGCGGAGAAGGCGAGGCATGACCACAACTACTCCGGCTACCTCTACAAGCGATCCTCAGACTCCAACAAGTGGCAACTCCGATGGTTTACACTTTACCAGGTCAGTCAAGTTAATGCTTTTCCTCTGTCTGTTGTGATGTCCCTTCTATTTGTGTGCGCTTTTAGAGTATCAGAAGGCGTGTTCACGCTTTCTCCTATCAAGGTAAGGCAATAGTGCTAAGAATGAATACGTCCTCCAACGGGCTGGGCTCCCACTCTTCTGACTGTTATTTCTATATCCATATCTGTATATAGCTGTGTTCATTGCCACCATTATCATTATTATCATTAGTGTTGTGGTGACTCGTGCGGTGCCCGTTCAAAAAGGCCAGTTTAGATGGGCAAATTGCTCGGGCAAACCTTAGAGTACCTAGTTCAAGCGGTACTCGATTAATAGATACAGAAAAGCAGAAACACAACATTGCGTCTGAAATATATACTTATACAAATATCGATATAACCATTTAGAAAGATAGACAAACTCTACTGAGTTTACCGTGCCTGGCCACTAGACCTCTCTGTAGTCGAAATTTATACCTTCACGAATATTAGCTAATCATAGCAAAGGTTAACTTGCCCTTGACCAATCACGCACTTTGTTTACGTTCCTTGTCCGATACGCTGGGTAATATTTTCTCATCGTTGTATTAAAGTAGTTACATGCTAAATACAATCATAGGACAGAAACTGAATATATATCATTATCAATGTGATAGTCTGTAATCCTTAACGATTTTCACTTTACGGAAATGCGAAGCTTCTTTCCGAAATTAAGTATTTTCAATGTTTCGAACAAGTTGGAATGGCTGCGATCATGGAAACTTTTACGTCTTTCTGAAGTTTGAGCGGATGTCAAAATTCTGTTAGATTAGTATTCACCAAGTCGTGGAGACAGTGAAGGAAGGCATCGGTGAGGAATATTAGATCTTTACAAAGAGGAAGACTAAACCGTAGTATTTCTATGGTTGCGTTTCTCCTGTGACATCAAAGCAACAACATTGTCAAAATGTCAACTACGTGATGGCCAAAGTGGTCTGTTATTGAGCTGTGCATTTTGTGTCATAGGATATATATATATATATATATATATATATATATATATATATATATATATATATATATATATATATATATATATACAGCATTCTCGAAAAGAAAAATCTAAAGGCAGAGAGAGACACATAAAACACAAAAAACAACATAGATATAATGAACTTTTCCTTCCTTTCTAACATCCATCACCACGTGCTCAGCCTTTGTCTTTCCTCAGCAACAGTTGACCTTTTCTCGATATATTTCTTCATTACATATGCGGTGAACGTACTTCATTTCCATGTAATTTAGGAAGTACATTTCGTTTCCACAATGATTTCCCAGGAGCGGAGGAGCAAGTGGGTCTTTTTCGTCACTTTCTTGGTATCTTTTTTTTCTCTCGTTTTTCTTTCTTTTTTTTCTTTCTTTCTTCGTCGGTCACTTTCATTCTTCTGTTTGTTCATTTTTTTCGCGTTTATTTTGTTTTCGTTACTTTGTCACATCATATGCAGTTTAACTTTCTTCTATCCACTTTTACTTTTGTTACCGTTCCATTTTTTTTATTCTTTATTCTCACTGCTTATTTTGGATTTAGTCATGATGCATTACTATATACATACATTACCATGATATTATTAGATTATATTTTGCTGAGAGGAATATTCATGTACTACTACTACTACTACTATTATTGCTTTATCGTTATTGTTATTATTATTACTGTTATTGATATTATCATTATTGTTGTTGATATTTTAACAGTAATTGTTTTTTTTATTGTTGTTGTTGCTCTTATGATTTCTATTAACACTATCATTACTATAACAATAAGTAGAAGGATTATTGTTGTTATTGTTGTTGTTGTTACCATTATTACTGTTGTTCTTTATTATGATTATTGTTATCATTATTACTATCATCATCATCATCATTACTGTTACTGTTTTTATTATTATGATTATTATCAACTTTAATATTATCATTATTACTATTATTATCATTTTTATTATTGTTATTATTAGTAGTATTATTGTTAACAGTATAATTAATGTTACTATTAGACTGCTACTATTATCATTATCATTATTATTGTTATTATTATGATGATGATTACTATTATCATCATTATTATTATTATAATTACTATCCCTTATTTTGTCATCATTGTTATTACTGTAATCATCATTATCACCTTTATTATTATTATCTATATATCATAATGTTAATTTCAGTATCATTGATATTATCATAATCATATTTTTATCATTTTCTTTTCGTTATCATTATTATAATTATCATTATTATTATTATTCATTATTTTCATTATAATCTATGTTATTATTATTATTGATATTATTTTTGTTGTTGTTGTTATTATGATTGTTATTATGGTGATGATGGTGAGGATAATAATAATAATAATAATAATAATAATAATAATAATAATAATTATTATTATTATTATTATTATTATTATTATTATAATTATTGGCATAATTATTATTATTATTATCATTATTATCATTATTGATATTATCCATAATTATCATGATTATTATTATTACTATTATTGTTATTATCATCAAATATCATTCTTATCAATATCATTGTCTTTATCATTATCATTATTTTTATTGTTCTTATTATCATTATTACTTAAATTATTTATATCACTGTATCACTACTATTCTATTATTTATGGCACTTTCATTCTTATAATCATTATTATTGTTATTATCATTATCATCATTATCATTGTCATTATTATTATCATTATCATTATCATTATTATCATTATTATTATTATTATTATTATTATTATTATTATTATTATTATTATTATCATTATTGTTATTATCATTATTATTATTAGTAGTAGTAGTGTCATTATCATTATCATTCTTATCATTACTACTACTTATCATTACTATTAATTTTTTTTATCAAAATTATCATAATTTTTTGTTACTGTCAATATTGTTATTCAATTATTATTATTGCTATTATTATTATTATCATTATTATCATTATTGTTATTATCATTATTATTATTATTGTTATTATCATCATTATTATTAACGTTTTCATTATTATCATTATTATTACCATTGTTATTATTATTAATATTATTGATATCAGGAGCCGTATTGAAATCATTAATATTGCATTATCATTATTATTACTGTTATTATTATTACTGTCATCATTATCATTACTGTTATTATTATTCTCAATATTATTGTTAGTGTACTTTTTTATATTTCCATTTCATTATTATTACTATCATCATTATTTATTGGTATTATCATCATCATCATTATTGTTATTATCGTTATCATTATTGCTGTTTATATTCTTGTTTTTGTTTTTCTATTATTATTGCTATTACTGATATCAATATCATTATTGTCGTCGTTATTGATATTATCATCATTTAATTTTATCATTGTTATTGGTTTTATTTCTACTCTTATTATTATTATCATTATCATTACTGTCATTATCATTATTACTATTATCATTATTATTATGGTAGTAATGAATATTATTATTGTTATCATTATCATTAATATTATTATTATTATTATTATTATTATTATTATTGTTATTATTACCATTATAATTATTATTGTTATTATTATTATTATTATTATTATTATTATTATTATTATTATTATTATTAAGATAATAATAATTATTACTATTACTATTACTATTATCATTATTACGATTTTCATTATTGTTATTGGTTTCATCGTTGATATCACTATTATTATTATCATTATTATTATTATTATAACTAGTAGTTATCATTTTCATTACTATCATTATCGTTATTATTACTATCATTATCATTATTATTTCTATTATTGATATTTTTATTATCCTTATTACAATAATTACTTTATATTCTTTTTTTTATATCGTCATCATTATTATCATCATTATCATCGTTGTTATCATTAATATCACGACTGTCATTATCATTATTGTCTTTATCATTATTGATATTACTATTCTTACTTTTATTATTATTCTTATTACCATTATCATTATCATTATGGCCATTATTATTATTATCATTATTTCTATCATTATTATTATTATTGATACGACTGTCATTAGTACTGCTGTCCATATTATTGCCATTATTATTATTATCAATATTATTATTATGGTTATTATTATCATTATTATCATTATCATTATCATTATTACTATTACTATTATCAGTATTATATTTATTATCATCATCGTTATTATCATAACTGATATTATTTCTACTACTTTTATTTTGCTTCATCATTATCATAACTAGTAGTATTATCATCGTTATTATTGCCATTATCATCATTTTTGATATTATTATTGTTATCAGATATTATTATCATTATTACCATGACTGATCTTATTATATTCATTATCATTATCATTACTCTGATTATCATGATTAGTTATTATCATTATTTTTATTATCACTGTTATAATTGTAATACTGATTATTGTTATCATTATCATTATCACTAGTGTTATTATCATTATTATTACTATTATTATTATTATTATTACTATTATTATAATTATTATTATTATCATTATTATTATTTTCATCATCAATGTTATTGTTATTGCCATTATCATTACTGTCATTATAGTTGTTATTAGTTATCATCGTCAGAATTATGATATAGATTGTCAGTATATTGCTATTCATTTTATCATTATCAATATTATAATTAGTTATTTTTGTAATCATCCTTGTTATCGTCATTGCAATCATTATTATCATTATAACTATTATGATCATGATTATTGTTATTGTCATTACTATTACTATATCTGTTATCATTATTGTTGTTTATCATCATTATTATTATAATTATTATTATTATTGCTGTCATTATTATCATCATTTTTATCTTTATTGTTATCAATCTAATTGTCCTCACTGATGTTTCCAATTGTAATGGTATTAATAATATTACCAATAACAATAATGATGATGATAATGATACTAGTGAAAGTAAT